TAAAAGTCTCTCCCTTATCCTATCCCCTTGCTCTCTTTATATCTGTACACATTTAGAAGACTTTTATACCCGGTGTATATGTTGTTCCCTCTTTTACTCATTTCCAATGAGGGTAAGGTTCCAGCACTACCAGCCCTCTACTCCCACTTGCTTCTTATGTATCAGTTCCTCCTTTTTTGCCTCATTTGTATGGGATAATTGCTCCTTTTTATCTTTTCCTACTCAGTTTTATTTTTTAGAATCACCCCATCATACATAACTCAGCCCAAACCTTTCTTTCAAACTACCCAAATAACGATGACATCAAAGTACTGATAACATTTTCACATATAAGAAGTAAACAATTTGACCTTATTGAGTCCCTTATAATTGGTCTTTAATGTTTACCTTATATTTCTCCTGGATCATATATGTTGAATTTTCTATTGAGTTTTGCCCTTTTTTTCGTCACAAATACCTGAAAAGTCTTTCAATTAGTTAAATGTCCTTTTTTTTTTTCAATTCAGGATTATACTTAACTTTGCTGGGTAAGTTACCCTTGGTCACAACCCTAGTTCTTTTGCTCTTTGAATTATAGTGTTCCAAAACCTACAGTCCTTCAATGTAGAAGCTGCTAGGTCTTCTATTTTTCATTCTTTTTCATTTTGTTTTATTATTTCTTGGTGTCTTATAATGTCATTAACTTCCCTTTGCCCTTTTCAAGGACTTATTTTCTTCCTTAGGTTTTTGATTCTTTTTTTTCCAGTTGGTTGACTTTCTTTTCATAGTTTTCTTGATTTTCTTGGATTGCTCTTATTTTTTTTCCCCTAATTTTCCCTCAGTCTCCCTTAACTGATTTTTTTTAATTCTTTTTTTTTTTTTTTTGGCTAGGCAATGGGGTTAAGTGACTTGCCCAGGGCCACACAGCTAGTAAGTGTTATGTGTCTGAGGCCAGATTTGAACTCAGGTCCTCCTGAATCCAGGGCCAGTGCTCTATCCACTACGCTGCCTAGCTGCCCCTCTTAATTGATTTTTGAAGTCCTTTTTAAGTTCCTCTAAGAACTCTTTTTGGGTGTGTGACCATTTGACATTTCTCTTTGAAAAAGGAGTGGCTTTTTTTAGCTCCACTATCCTCCTCTGAATATGAACCCAGCGGGGAATGGTGCCCTCTTTTTTACTGCGATTTTCTGAGCTCTGTCCCAGGGCCCAACCTTGGGCAGTCCTCTCCACCTCTAAGTCATGGCTAGCCACAATGTCCCACAAATGCTCTTGCTCCCTATGGTCCCTCCAGTGGCTGCAAACTTCAGCTCTCCTTTCTGCTCCGGAACTGAGCAGAAAGTTCTCTGCTCTCCTGCAAGTGCCCACAGCCAGCAGGGCCCCCACCCCTTTGCTACCACACTCATCCAGTGTATGCTAGCTCTTTCTTAACCGCAGCTGCAGCCCAGGACTGTGTCTAGTCAGCACAGCTGGGCTCGGCATCCCTCCATAGTGGAGGGTCCTTAATCTTCTACTCATCCTGGACCCCAACACTGTCCCTGAGGTGAAAGTACCTGAGATGGAGTCAGCCTGGAGGTGTTTGCATTTCACTCAGGTCAAACTCCACCCCTGGAGGTTGAGTCTTTCCTGAGGTCCTCCTAGGTTGTCTTAGGAGGACAGCTACTTTACCCCAGCTTTTGTTTATTTCTGCCACTCTACGTTTACTTTGAGGCGATGTTCTATTGGTTTTTTTTTTTTTGAGGAAATTTAGAGAGCCTGGAGTTTTCTGACCTACTCCATCATCTTCTCAGAATTCTCTCTCTGAAGTTCTTTTTAAAGCCATATTGGGAGAAAAAGGATATGAGAAAGGAGATGACCTTTCTTGAATTGGATGGGACAACAATAGTGACAATAGAGAGAAGGCTAGGCCACTCACTTCTTTGGCTTCTGTTTTTTCTGCCAAGAAGAACATTTACGTTGGAAATGTTAGAACTAAAATGACTTAGGGGTTGTTACCCAAGATAAATAAAGAGAAAATAAGAGAAGTACCTAGGTGCCCTTGATGAATGCAAGCCACCTGACCCAGCAGTGGCTACAGAAAGAACTGACAAGTGGGATTGCTGAATTGCTGTCAGTAAAATTGTAAAGCTCTTAGAAAATGGCGGAGGTAAAACAAGACTGGGGAAGAATGGATGGTGCCCTAATTTTTACAATAGGAAGGACAGAGTCTTCTAACTCTATGCCAGGGTACTTGAGTTAGATTCCAGGGAAAATCCTAGATCATTCTAGAGATGATTGATGAACTTTTAAAAAGGGAAGCGGTTATTACAGAAAGCCAGCATCAAGAACAGGTCTTGTGACATACTAATCTCATTTCCTTTAAAAAAAAAACCAGGATGACTGAGCTGGTAGATGAGGGGCATTCTGTGATTAGATTTTACATAGAGTTAAGTAAAATTTTGGAGAGATGTACTCGTCAATAATATTAGATTCAGAACTGTCTGAATAATTGGACTCAAGATGGTTGTTGAGGGCTCAATGTTGGTGACAAGAAGTCTGTAGTGTAGTATCCCAGGAATTTGTGCTTGGCCCTGAGCAGTTTGACATTTTTATTGATGACTTGGATAAAGGCATAGACAGAATTATCGAATTATCAATTTGCCAAGTGGCACTTAGTTTGGGGGGGGTGGAGATCAATAGCATACTGGATTTTAGGATCCAGAAAGAACTTGACATGCTACAGCTGTGGTCTGAATACAACAAAGATGAAATTCAATAAGAATAAATGTAAAGTCTTACCCTTAGGTATAAAAAATCAATCTCACAAAGGAAAATAAATGTAAAGTCTTACACTTAGGCATAAAAAATCAGTCTCACAAGTACAAGATGGGGGAGACATAATAAGATTGAAGTTCTTCTGAAAAATAGCTGGGAATTTTTAGTGAACTTTAAGCTTTATAAAAGTTGACAATGTGATAGAGGAACCAAAAAGCTAATGCCATCTTGGACCATATTAAGAAAGTCTCGGGGGCAGCTAGGTGGCACAGTGCACTGGCCCTGGATTCAGGAGGATCTGAGTTCAAATCCAGCCTCAGATACATAACACTTACTAGCCTAACTGTGTGACTCTGGGCAAGTCACTTAACCCCATTGCCTAACCAAAAGAAAAGGAAAGTCTTAACTTCCCAGAATAGGAAAATGATAATTCCCCTACACTCTGCCCTTGTCAATCAGTAAACAAGTTATTAATTAAGTCCCAATTATGGTCAAGGTACTGGGGCTTCAAGTATGGAGAATATTCCAAAAGGCAGGCATCTCACCTTTGTATTATTAGGTTGCATTCAGAACACTGTATTGGGTTCTGGGACCCACAGTCTAAGGAAGACATTGATAAACTGGATAATGTCCAGAGGAGAACACCCGATATAGCAAAAGACTTTGGGTTTGTTACATAAATATTGAGAGTACTAAGCCTGGAGAAACAAAACTAATGGGGACACAATAATTATCTTTGATTATTTATGAAGCTGTCTTGTGGAGGGGAGCTTTGACTCACTCTGGCCTCGAAGAGCAGAGCCAGGGACAATTGGTGTAAGTTGCAAAAACTTACATTTTGGTTTGCTCTTTGGAACGATTTCCTAACATGATACTCTAGACAAGGTCAGAAAAGGGCAGAGTAGAGTGAGACCATCCCCTTGCTCCTTCTGGAAGATTTTACTCTTTGAAGGCAGCCCAAGAGCTAATGAGCTTTTTTTGGCTGCTGTATTACCCTGATGACTCATATTTAGCTTTCAGGCCATTAAACATCGTCCCTCTCTACCTCAGATAATTTTCAGAAAAACTTCTGTATCATTGGATATTTGCATCAGGTTTTGTTGGGTTTTTTTTGGTACCAAAGTGTTAGGTCTTTTTAGGCCTTTTTGGATGTATTGGCTCTTTACACTTAAAATTCTAAATGCTGAAAAATATTACAGCTACCTGAATGCCAGTTAACCATTTTGATAGTAATATCAGCCTCACATTTCTCTAGCACTAAAGTTTACAAAGCACTTTCCTCATAACAACTCTGTGAGCAGGAGGTCACAACTGTAATGAATCTCATCTATTATTGTATGGAAGATTTTTAAAAACTATAATTAGCTAATCCAATCTGATACAATTTTGTGGATAACTAATTAATGAATACATGTGTTTTTCATTTTCTTAGGGATGTTTCTTTTTTGTATGATGTTAAGGCTGAAAAACTAGAGGACTCATGGCTTCCACAGCTGGTAAAAAAGTTTACCGCCATTCAAGGAAAGCCACATGAGGGTTTGTCTATCCCCCAGACGGCAGTAAGTGCGACTTTCTGGCCATAATTTTTTTTCTTTTCTGGACATAGATGGCTAGGTCCGATTGTCAGCATTTATTTATGAGTATGGTGATGATGGAAATGATCCCAGTCCATCCTTGTCTTATGGGAAAGACATTTTTTTTTTCCTTTTTTAAAGTTGTTTTTGTCATCACAGTTGTTTAAGGAATTACTGTTATCACTAAAGTATAGTCAAGTCAAAAAGCATTTGTTAAAAGCTCCTGCTGTGTGTCAAGACACTGCTAATCACTGCGGATGCAAAGAAAGATAAACAGTCTTTCTCCTTGAGGATCTCACAATATAACAGGGAGACAGCGTGTAAACACCATGTACATGAAAGATGTAGACAGGATAAATTGGAATCTAGATCACAGCTGTCTCTCTAAAAATCATCTTAAAAAATTGTCAGATATAGATTTTTCAACCTGCTGATATTAATTTTTATGTGGATTTTTAGATTTAATTACACGATCAGTTATTGGTGGAATTTGAGAAATAAAATCCAAGTTTCAGAGAACCTAGGATGTGTTTCAATTGACTGGTCCTAGATACCCAACCCTCAATTTATTTTTCTACAATATGGGTGATTTTGATTCAAGCTCATAGCCTCTACATAGAACTATGTTTTAAGCCATTTCTGAAATCAAGATCACTCAAACAAATTAGATCCTGACTTTTGAGGTGTGGGGTAGTAGGTAAAGTATCTTTCAGAATGTCTTTTCCCCTTTCACATCTCCGTTTCTTTTTTCAGCCAAAAAAGTTAATGGATACCCTGATCCCTGAAGAATTTCACATTGTGTCCAACACAGGAGTTGAAGGTCTACAATATTATGATGAGTGAGTTTTACAATTTGAATGGAACCCTTGATAATTACATGATTGCTACCTCTCTTGAATCAAAGAAATAATGCAAAGACTGAGAGTGGAAGGACATTCAGGGTCCTAGACAGTGGTTTAAACCCAGGGGTTTGCTGGTAAATGTTTAACTGAGTCCCTGAAAGGAAAAAAAAAGCATACAGGCAATTTTATATTTAATCTGCATTGTTAACCTTTCTCCATCACTTTCTTACATTTAAATAATCAACAATTCAATGACTCAAGCCCTGACTTGTAGTGTTTGTCAATTTCCAAGGCATTGTGAGGATCAAATGAGATAAGACATATTAAGTGCTTTGCAAACCTTACAACGCTGTATAATGCTAGCTGTTATTGTTAATAGCACTCTCTTATATTAATATGATATTTTATGGTTTACAAAGCATTTTCAAATGTATTACATCATTTGAATCTTACAACACCAGAAACAAGGACCCAGGAAGGAAGACTGAAGACAGTCTCAACCTTACCCATTTCACAGGTAAATACACAGGTTAACACTGTTTGTTGGGCGGGAGAACACAAAAGGGCACCTAACACTAACAGGTTCATCTAGCACAGCGTCACCTTTGATCTGGTCAGACAGGAAGACAGCTTCAGAGGGTTTAAACAAGCTTACTTTATTCTAAGTCTAGTCTTCTCAAAAGGGTTGCTGATAATGGGAGCTCCAACTCCTACAGCATTCCCTAATCACACTTCTCCCAGGGGCCGGCGAGAATAGGAGTACAACTCCTCATCCCCTAAGCCTCAATGGGGGCCAGTTGAGGCAAACACAGATTCCCCTCAAACCTTAATGGGAGCTGATCAAGGCAGGTACATGCATTCCTCAATGCTTTACCCAAATCTCAAAATGGGTTCCCAACTCACTGACCAGAGCCCACTTGCTTTATAGGGCAACAGACTAAAGAAGGCATTTTGTCAATGTTAAGCTCACAAGTTAACTTTAGCAATATTGTCATGCTGTGCTCTAGCACAGTGCACGTGTAGTAAATATCACATCATGTCACCCCTATATCTCACTGCAACTGTGTAGTAGAGGTTGTTTTCAACCATAATTTGTGGGAAATAATATCTAGGATCCTGGAACAATTATCTAAAAGGGATTAACAAAACACACTAAAATCCACCTTATTTACAAAGACTTAATGACTTCCCAAGAGAAAATGGCTGGTACAGGGTAGAGCCTCATTAGATTATAAACTCCTTGAGGGCAGGAAATGGCTTTCTTTTTATTAATTGTATCCTCAGTCTAGCAGAGTGCCTAGTGCATAGTAGTCATTTAATGTGGATTGGGTTGGAGCCAAGACCTAAGCCCAGGCCATCTCCTTGCCCATTCTCCTTCCACAAGATCATGCTCCTTCCTGGGGATAGAGAGTACGTGATTATGCATTGTATTACAGGCAGGCCATCGAATGCCCTTAAGAATAATGTGTAAATTTCCTTTTTTGCAGTAAATATACAACTTTGCTGACCGACAGTCAGAATAGGCTGTTACTTTTCCCATCCATGTAAGTAGAGCTGATTTTCTAAAATGCTTTCCAAAATAATAAGGATGCCATTTCTGTCAAAGCCCACTACCAAAAGACATATGGGCTGCCTTTATTATATTTTATTATCTTTGGGGTTCAAAGATTTGGTTCAGCATAGTTCTGGTACTAACACTAATTCTCCATTTCTGCAACCTTCATCTGCTAGGAAACCAAATAAGAGAATTGAAGTGATACAGCTGAAGAATGTAATGGATATGATGCTAGAGAAGGCTGGTGTAGATGCTGAAAAATCAGTAAATGCAACTCAGGTAGAAAACCCTTCCTAAACCTCATCATGGTGGAGGATATTTCCCATCTCTAAGCATTTCCCATAATTGTACAGCATTTATTAAAGACGTTTCAAATCTCAAGGATTACCCTGTTGTAAAGTCCTTGTGTCTATCCTTTTAATAAGATGTCCTAAAAGGATCATGTTCTTTGAGGCCTAATTTTAGTTGTAAAAATGGATTCAGAGAGAAGCCATGAAGTTTAGTGGATAGAAGCTGGTCCTAGAGTCAGGAAGACCTGGGTTCAAGTCTTGCTTTTGATACACCCTGGCTTTGTGACCCTGGGCTCAGGGAGCTTTTTAAGACCTGAAGTTTTAGAGTAGGCTCCAATTTGCTTTGTCTTCAGAAAGTTTCCTGCTTGGGAATTCCCTATGCCAATGAAATCACAGATCTGGCCTCCAAAAAATCACAGAGGCTGAACAGCATGGTGGAAGAGGTGCTGCTCTTGGAACCAGGGGACCTAGGTTCAGCTCTTTCCTCAGATACTTACTAGCTATATGATAACAGGCAGGTCACCTGACCTCTCTTGATCTCAGCTTCATTCCTTGTAAAAATTAGGGGGTTGGATTAGATAACACCAAAAGTTCCTTCCAGCATTCTAATCCATACCCAAAGTACCAGTTTTCTCATCAGCAAAATAGGAATATTAATATTCATATTACTATTCTAATGAAGAATTTACTATTCTAGTGAAGTAATTAGCCAACTTTAAAGTGCTATGTGGATGTTTTAAATTATAAGCATGAGTATGATTATTCTATAGAAATTTTTGGGTAATCTTGTGAGTGTGTGGTAGGTTTTTGGAAATATTTTATTGACAACTGGAGATATGGTATAAATTCTCAATGTGAAAGCATTAAAGTAACTGATTATAACTGTTATCTGCTTGGAAAATATGACAACAAAAATAACTGTTCATTGACCTTCTAATAACAAATGCCAGGCGATCCATCCAATGCCGAGTCAAGTCTGAAGAGACACTCCCCGCAGATGGGGCGGTTCTCCAGGTGCTCCTGTTTGTGGATGAGGTCCTGATTGTGGCAAGCCCCACGACATTGCAGAGCCTCCTGGAAAAGATCTATAACTGAGATCTGTAACCCTTCAAAAGAGTTTGGCCTCTCCGCCCACATAGGAAAGACCAGTGGATGAAAAATGTCTCTGACCCAGATTTCAACATGCGTTTAGATGAGTCCTCAGTAGTGCCTATTGATCAGTATATGTGTATAGACAGATAATACGGATGGATGACAAATTGGGTCCACCATTGAAACAGAGGATTGCTTTTGGGTAATTTCAAAGTTCTTTTACTGACCCCAAGCTTCCCATCTTTTCAATAATAATACTTTCCCAGTGTATGCTAAATAGTAATGAGACATGAAATACCACTAGCTCTGATAAGTATTACACAGAGATCAGTGGACAGGTGCAAGGTCAGTGTGAGCTGGCTGCAGCATACTTTCAGTGAGGAACTCCAAAGAACAGGTGAGAAAGATGTCATCGATGACTTCTAAGATAAGAAGAAAAGATAGACTGGTCACTTGGAGAGGGCTTGAGATGACAGGCAGACAGAGTGATCCATTGATACCTTTGAGATAGCAGGAGAAAGTAAGGAAGGCCTCTTGCTCATTAGGTGGGCCCACTATGGTCAGTTTACAGGAGGACATGGGACAGGAGTCACCCAGGATGGACAGGCCTGATTGAGTTGTGATTGGCATTGTTGGAGGAAACACCTAAATCAATAAGCTCTCAGATACATTTGAGGAAACAGTCTAATGGTCATAGACTAATGCTCCCCTGTGAATAAAGCTGTTAAAGTATGAAAGTGAGCCTAAATGTTACCCAGAGAAGATGACAGAAAGGGTATAATAATAACATGAGTCTTAGATATCACTGGCTAAAATGTGAAAAAGGCTATCACAGAATCCTTCTTCCTTCATTCCACCTACCAAATGGGGCATATTTGGAAATCTGTGCTTTGGTGAATGTTTTTCCAGCATACAGCTTCTTTAAGTAAATACATAGCAATAATAGTAATGGTAATAATAACAATAGCATAATTATATTGTGCTTTAGGGTTTGCAAAATGCTTCTGTATCTACATCGTCTTTTGCTGCATTGCGTAGAAGAAAGAACAATACAGTAAGAGGCAGGAGGCCTGGTTTCTGTTTCCTTCTCCACTAATAACTTGCTTTATGACCTTGGGCAAATCACCTAAATTTTGTGGGGCTCATTTGGCTCCTTTGTAAAATTAAGATAACAACATCTTGCCTGTTTAAAAGAAGGAAACTGAGCTAGATTATTATTTTAAGAACAGGGTGGCGTAATGGAAAGAACACTGGAGTAAGGATGAGAATGCAGGTACTAGTCCTTACTCTGCCCTTGGCCGAGGTATTCAACCCTTCTGTATCTTGCAGGGGATGATCCGTCAGGTTCTTTTCAGCTCCAAAATCCTATGGTTCTATTTTGTTTCATGAGAAAAAAGATCTTCCAAAGGAATGTCATGTTTTCAGCATCTCCCATAACAATCTTTCTCCATGGGGTCGTTGTAAGATAAAACTTTTTACTTTAATGACACACTAATGCCTTACTTTTCTTCTACCAGATGCACAGACTTCTTGAAGTGCTGAAGACTGAGCAGAACATTTATAATACGGCATTTCATGAAATCATTCGACAAATCAGTGTGGAGTGTTCAGACAGAGGAGAACTCTTGTCAAATATAAGGTCAGGGCTTTGAGGGTATTTAACAGTTGTCCTTTATTTTCCAAACAATGTCATGGTTATCTTTGTTTTGTTTTGTTTTGTTTTGTTTAGGCAGTTGGGGTTAAGTGACTTGCCCAGGGTCACACAGCTAGTAAGCGCCAAGTGTTTGGTCTGAGGCCGGAGTTGAACTCAGGTCCCCTTGACTTCAGGGCCGGTGCTCTGTCCACTGATCTTTGTTTTTCAGAAAATGTTTTAAGAACAGGCAGTCGTGTTTCTCTTTTCTTTCCGATGGTGACCTCTGAGGAATAAAACTGAATTTCAGAGTTGGCGGAGAACCCATCCAATACAACCTATATCTGAACTCAAATCTCTGTACCTGAACAATACCCCCAACAAATGGTCATTTGGTCTTTGTTTAAAGAACTGTAGTTAAGAACCTGCTGGTTCCCAAGGCAGCCCACTCCATGTTGGGATGCTTCTAACTCCTAGACGTGTTTCCTTACATGAAGTAAAAAATCTTCATTTCTGCAGCTTGATCCTTAGTTGTGCTTTCTGGGGTCAGTCCCTATTCTAGCAGAAAGCCTTCCAGATACTTGTAGGCAGCTATGATAACCCCTCCCCTGACCTCCCCCTCCTCCTGACAAATCTTTTCTTCTCTCGGCTAACCTGGAAATCCAGTTCCTTCGGCTAATCCCCACATGGCATGATCATGAAAAGCTCTTTACAGACAACAAAGTCTCTTTTCATGGAAGAGAGAGAATACTATGGCATCAGTGAACAGCTGATATTTTCTTCTAGAATCCCTGTTTCGTGTCTCCTGCAACATCAGCTTGGACGTGCTGATTGGGGAGTGTCACCCTGAAGGGCGGAGAAAGGCCCACAGACAATTTCTCAGGTCATCAAACGTCTTTTGCAATAGCGTCAGTGTGATCCCCTGTCAAGGTTTTATTTAAACAACATAGGAAAAATTGTGGCTTTCTCTCTAGCTAGATAAGGATGATTCTTATGTCTGGTCCTTTCAAATATGCCCAAGGTTTAATGAGGCGGTCTCAGAGTTGTCATGAAGGTGTATTCCATGATGTCTCAGTAAGCCCTTGTCTTCATACACCAGTGCCAAGTGTGGTTATAACACCCAAAAGCTCGTGGAGGTGGAAATGCACAGGCCATCCTCCCACAGGACAATGGCCTGGCCAGAGACATAGAAGAACGCCCACACCCACAAACTCTTCCAGAGATGCCAGCTGGTACAGCCACACCCTCCCTTCACCTCAGTTTGAATCACCGTCCACAAACAACCATATCTGTCAATTGTCTCTACACAACAAAGATCAATTTGGCAATGATCAACTGGCAGCAGATCCTCCTGTCCCTCCTCTTATATCTCCCTGCAGCGTGCCACAGCTTACTGCTCACAAAGCCATTGCAACACAGACTTCCAAATTCTACTAGCCATGTTACTGATTTGGTAGAAGCCAGTGGAACAATGGTGGTGGTGGTGGTGGGGGTGTGTGTGTGTGTGTGTGTATGTGTGTGTGTGTTGTGGGGGTGGGAGGGCAGTGTCAGATCTCTCTGTGTACCTCTGATGAAAGTTCAAATTATCACCACTCCATACTTCTGCTGGCAATTCACAATTCCTCAGGCTTCCCACTTAACTCCTTATACCATTAACAGGAGTGGTTTGTGCTTACTGTTACTTTACCATGGGAATTTAGGGGAACATAACTGGTTTAAGATATGAAATGTGAAAGACTGGGTAAGTGTCCCTGCTCAGTGGTTCCTAGCTCATCTGGTTCTATTGCTGAAAAGATGGTGAAAAGCCTTGAATAGCTGCGACGTAAGGCCTAAGGCAGAGTCCTGAGAGGAGAACCACCTAGACCTGGTATCTGGCTACCTACAATCAAGTCTCTGTGCTCCATTGCTTTCGCAATTGTTTTCCTGTTCCTGTGTCCGCCATAGTGTTTGTTGAATGGTCTTGATTCTCCTTTGCAGGATTTATTTTCAGATCATTAAAATTGTCATTGGCTGAATCTAAGGGATGCCTGCTAGGAACAAATATGGGGAGAATCCATAGGCTACCTGAAATGTTGACATTCCAAGTATTCTTTGTTAAATTAAATTAAATTGTTAAATTCCTTGTTAATCAAGGCATCATGTTATCCTGGCACATTCTGTCATTAGCAAGAACTAGATTCTCCTATAATAAGTTTGTGGCAAAGCACCACAGGTACTAGGTTGTACTCTACATGTCCATTGGTCAGTGGGTGATAGGTTGTTGTAAGCTACTGCTGAATCCCTGATGTCTTCTGAAGACTTCTCCAGACCTTGACTAGTAACTGTGGATCTCTCTCTAAGTTAATCTGTATGGGAATTCCATGATGTTAGGTAGATGCTAGCTGGGGATACATGATCAAGTTCCCCATGCTAGAGAAACAATACACTGCCATGAAGATGCTTGTCTCGGCACATAAAAAATACTTAATAAATGCTTGTTGGCTGATGAAATCAAATCCTAGCTGCTACCATAGTTAAGGGGTATTATCAGTCACAGTGGAAGACGTCTCATGGATCCTATCAGGGCTTTTTTTGTGCATTGGCCCTTTACCTCTACCCTTTACACGACCCTGAGCATCATGTGCTCACTCAGACTACCAGTAATGCCAGTGCATTGAAGTTTTGGTTCTCACCTCTCCCACAAGTGTGACTGACAGATATCTCCTTTCTGTAGTACAGAAGTCCTATGTCCAGGCCCAGACCCCAGAAGAACCCCAGCCAAGGCTTCCTTGTTGCATATACTTTGGAAGCAAATAATGGTTTGATCTAGGTTTCTTACTCCTCGAGTTCTGAACTTCACCTGAGTGCATTAGTTCACCAGGCAGAATGTTTCAGTTAAGAGCTGAGGACCCTTGAAATCACCTACAATTACCTACATCTTGGTGCTAAGACCCTTCCAAGTAGCTCCAGAGCATCCTTAATAGCAAGTAGCTTATGGTCAATCACATTGGAATTCCTTTCTATTAAAGTTAGTGGATGGGAGTAATATATTTCTATATACTACATCTTCTACATTTATAGCATACATCGATAGTGCATCTTCTGCTACAGCCAGTTAAACTCCTTGGAATTCATGATGGATCTGGAAGTATCTCAAAACTCAGCAGAAAAGGAGGAGGGGTCAGTGCCAGCAAACACAGTTAAGAGTAAAATAGGTGAATGGTGACAGTAAGCCAAGATTGGGATTTGGAAAAAGATGAGGAGTGATGGGATTTGAAGACAGAGGATTGTATAAAGTTGAACTTGTTAGCCAAGGCATCAAAATGTAGACAGAGGAAACCAAGGCCAGAGCTGAGGTGAGAGACTGGGAAAACACGGAAGGATAGAGTGACAGGATGATACAATTAGAATAAAAAATATATTTAGGAATGGTGAGGCATAAGGAGAGAAAGATGAAAGGCTAAGGTCAGGAGAATTCCAGTGTTCTTGATCATGGTAATAGAATACTTGTAGGTGATAGTGACCATGATTTGTTCAGCTATTCCTCAATTGATGGGCACCCTCTTAGTTTCCAATTATTTTCTATACCAAAAAACTTTTGTAAATGTTTTTGTACATCTGGACCCTTTATTGTAAACTTCTCATCATTCCTGGCCTGACATTAATTTTAGTCCATACAATGCTTCTTATTTTCCTTTGAGAATGCGAAGACAAAAATGAAACAGCCCTGCTCTCAGGAAGCTTACATTGTACTGGGAAGGACAACAGGCACTCATATAAACATATTTGGAATACATACATGTATGTGGGAATGTCTATTCTCTACCTCAATTATGTTACTTTTTCTCTTGCATATATTCCTTAAACTATCTCTTATTCACTCTAGTTTCCTCTCCACCTCCTTTTTTTCCCCCTCTTACAGACAGAGGTATGTGAATTTGCTTGACCAAATAGCTCGCCAGATGATTGATTTTTACAAAGACATGGTGGCCCAACGCGTAATGGACAAGCGCATCATAGAAGAATTGTTTAACTTCAAGAAAGTTGTTGAAGAGCTGAGCAGGTATGAACTTTGATTGTTTTTGAGAAAACCTGTTTTTGTAGAGAAATGAAAACCTTCAGGAAAAGCAGAACCATCAAAGACCTGAGGGCTCTTCCATTCTTACTTATGGCCACTTAAAAGAGAGAATGGAATTGTGAAAATAATAATATCACATTTATATAGATCTTTTGATTTCACAATGTCTTCTCCTTAAAACAACCTTGTAAGGTGGGTATAAATGAGAGTATGTGGACAAAAGGTGGCATGAAGCTAAGTTTAGGTATTCTACCTTGGCATTCTCTTTAGCAGCTCTTTCTCTCATTTGGAAATTGTCATACTTTTGCTGATTGTGGCATTTTGGGGCCTCCTTTGGTTGTTTTGTTGCGGCAATTATTTTAAATTTAAATCACAGATCAAATTATTATAGTTGGTTTTGATATGAGCTCTATTGTCTATTTCCCATGTTTTATTTTAAATTAGTTTAACTATTCCTATTCCTCAGTCACTCAGTGCCCTTGATTTTTACCATAGCAGAGAGCATTATCTGTGCCTGAATGGGGGAAAGGTAGAGGAAGGAGTAAATGAGGAAATAGGAATTGACAGCCCCTCTTTGTCCCCTTGCCCCAGTTCCCTCCCTATGCTTCCTTTTAGCCAGAGGGGAGATAAAACACCCTGATTCAACGTTAGTTCTGTCATTTGGGAAGTTTATTAAAAAATGATAAATCAAAATGATAGTGCTTTTTCTCAGTTTGACTCACCTCATCCTAGCCAGAGTGAGGCTGATGGTTTTGGAGCAGGGTCAAACCTTGTACCTTTCTGCTTCTTTATACCCACATCAACACTGTCCCTCTTGATTGTGACCCCTTTTTCACCAACAAGGAAACACACAGCTCAAAAGCAATTAGGATTGTTTCTTTATTTCAAATGAGCTGGCTGTCTTACTGACTTACAAAAGAAGTAAACAACTATTCAAAACAAATTTTTATTTAAACATCTATCCTTTCAAATGGAAAGGTTGGGGGAAGGTAAAGACTGCACATTACTAACCACCTGAATCCTTGGTGAGAAGACAATTTGCCAACAATTGGACTCTTTCCACACTCTGGTCATGACTGACATATGCCCAACTGTCCAAAGATTCTAGCTGCCCTGTGGAGGCCAGGTTTGCTCACCATCTGTGCTCAGCATCCTTCACTCTCGGCATCTTTCTCCTGGAGTTCTTCTTTATTATATGTGTTGCCCACTGTGGCCTGTCTAGATGGTTTTACCAGGGTGTGGCCACTGCAAATGTTACAGCTTCTTGGAACTCCAGGTGAGAGTTGGGTGACAGGTGGACACCAAAGGTGGATGAGCAGCTATGAAAAGTGCTAGTCTTCCTTGAATACTTCATATACCCCAAACCCCTTGATAAGTTAGGGGGATGTCTACCCCAAACATGTGAAAACGTCTGCCTGGTGGAATGGGTGGATGAGAGCAGTTTGTTCCATTGGCCATGAAGGCGGCTGAAGCAGGTGTTGTGGAGTGCTTAGAGCTTGGTCAAGCATCAAAGACGCCAAGGTTATCTACTGTATCCCAGGCCATCACCAGTCATCTTGACTTTTGTCTTGCCATTGGAATTTGATTGGACTCAGGAAGAGAGAGTGAGGCTGATGACTCTGTGCAACTCTGCCTTACTACAATCAATTCACATGATGTCATCGGTCTTCTTCAAAAATAAACGACAACCAACAACAGATCTCTAATTTCATGACTTGCCCAAGATCACATAGATGGTAAATAACACAGCTGGTATCTGAGCCCCCTTCCTCTGACATTAAACCCAGTGTTCTTTTCACTACAATATGTGGTCACCAAGATTTGGTTTTGGAAGGTGGGCCTTCACATCACTGTACTACCTGTGTCACGGAGCTGTTGAGGTGATGTATTGAAGTACTTTTAAATTGCAAATTTTACACATTTCCCTGATGAGGGTGATGATGGATGGCAACCAAGAGGATATTTTCAGGTCCAGGTATACTGTAGATCAGATGTGGCCTTCCTCATCCTGGGATGTGGTCTACCAAAGATATTTTAGCAGTTTCATAATTTTAATTCTTTGCCACAAGTAATTAGTAGTCCATTAGGGTCTAACCCCTTGCAATTTCTGAACGTGTAGCTAAATTCCAAAGCAAAATAATCATACTTTTTTGGAGCTGGGAGGGTCCTTAGAGACAATCTATTCCAAATTCCTTATCTTATAGCTGAAGAAACTAATGCTCAGAGAGGTCATGTCCTTTCCAAGGTCACAAGTAGGAAGTAACAGAGCTGAGACTTTAACCCCAGGTAGGTAGTGCAGGTATTATTAACATCCTCATTTTACAGCCTGGAAAACTGAGGACTGAAGTTGAAGAGGGGTAGGGGTTTTGGGGTGCTCCTAAATGCACAGAGGCACCCCAAGATCACAGGAGGTTTTGGGGTGCTGGGAAAAGCCCCAAATCGCGGCGCCAAGTCTGCCTGAATGAATTCAACCCAAAATCTTCTTCCAGCCAGAGAAAAAGTTTATTAAAGATAAATCACATATAGGCCAGGTCAGGCCCATGAGGAGAGCGGGCTTGAGAGTCTCAGCCTCTGGGCATGAGAAGTCCTCAGCATCAGAATGGGGGCAAGGTGGTCAGGTGACACTCGTAAGGACAAGCGGGCTTGAGACAGTCTCAGCCTCTAGGAGTGAGAACAGCTCAGCTTCTAAATGGGGGCTGGGGGCTAAGGAGGCCAGGTGACATGAGCAGGCATGAGGCAGTCTCAGCCTTTTGGGCATGAAGAAAGCTCAGCATCTGAATCGGGGTAAAGGTGAATCTTAAGTACAGAAAGACTGTGGGAGGGATCCAGGAGTGGCCAAGCAGCCCGGAGTGACTGGAAGAGAGGTCTAAGGAGATCTGGATGGGAGTGGCTAGTAAGCTGGGGTGAACAGAACTCCTAGGTCCTGGACCTCATGGAGCCTAGCTAGGATTAAGGGTGAGAAATGACTAGGGGCCACAGGAAAGTAAAACAATGGGAAAGGCCAGTTGAAGGGGGGAGGGGGTTGAGAAAAGGGTCCAGGTGTTTGGAAGGTCTGAGAGATTTGAACAGACAATGAGAATAGATAATGAAGGGAACTGCAAGGGGGGAAGTTTGCTTTCAAATGGAGCTAAAGAGAGACACACAGGAGCCAGGTTCTTTTCAGGGTCTGGGAGGAAAGATGCATATCAGAAAGGCCAGGCCCAGGCTTTGGAAAAGGGCTTAACAATAAAACTATTAGTGGCAAAGGTCTTGGCTTCTGAAACCGAATGAAACCCTCTTCAAAGTGACTGGTCCATAGTCACCGGAGACTTTCTCTTGAAACTGCTAAAAATGAAATCAAGTGTGTTCACTACTACAATCAGAATGATAAAGAGTTAAGAACAACATGCAATTTTATGGAACATTCTATATATTCTTTTCAAAAACTGGGAAAAGAAAAGGAGAAATGAAGCCAATTCATTAGAGACATAAACCATGAGTTCAGAACTGAAACATTGCTACATGTAATATAATCCACCATTCCTGAGAATAGCGTGTTAAATAATAGCATTCTTACTGACAATCACTGGCATTAGATCTTTCGAAGTTTGCTTTTGTGTGAACAAAAGTGATTAAACTCTTTTTCCATATCTGAAAATAAAAGCACCATATTTTCACACAACCAACAGACTAATTCTTCATTGCATTTTGTTTTTGTTTAGTCATTTCAGTTGTATCTGACTCTTTATGACCCCATTTGGGATTTTCTTGGTAAAGATACTGGAGTGGTTTGCTATTTTCTTCAATTTACAGCTCATTTTACAGATGAGGAAACTGAGGCAAGCCGGATAAAGTGACTTGCCCAGGGTCACACAGCTAGTAAGTGTCTGAGGCCGGACTTGAACTCAGGAAGATATCATGACTCCAGGCCTGGCACTCTATCCAGTGTGCCATCTAGCTGCCCCCATTATTGCCATTTGACCTCTAAAGTTCCTTCTGGCTCTAAATCTACATTCAGGCTCAAAAGTGATTTTGGCCCCACATAAGTGGATTTCTGTGTGGATGTTTCCATTTTAAGATAAAACTAAAATCCTCCACAGAAGCTTTTTCTGAGACTTTAAAGGAAACAAAATTTCTCCTTTGATTTTAGAGAGCTATTTCTAGTTCGAGAATATGATTTAAAGTTGAGGAAAAAAGCAGAGAAGATCCATGAGGAGTTGATGATGGCTCTTAGTAATGCAGAGAAGAATGCCAGGTGAGTTTCTTAAATTTTAACTAGATTAGATGGAGAGGGGAGGGGTTAACTGTTTTTAAAGCAATGAAATGCTAATTTTTTGATTCCTAAGATGACTATGGGTGTCTTTTGTAGGAACTTAATGTATGATTTTTGTTTTGAGATGAGAGCAGGATAATGAGTCCTCATTTCTTTGGGTAAAGAGTTCTGGTTGGTTTTGTGTTAATCTTTCTATTAATTGTGCCTTGAATGCTGGATCTCCATTCTCTTTCTGTGTTTTACTTGAATCCACTCTCCTTTACTGTCATCATTACTTTGTACATCATTTAGTAATTTTCAGCATTTATGTTATCAGGAACTGTAGCGTGGTATGGCAAAGCCAAAATTCTAAGAGTCAAGACAAAGAAGTAAAAAAAGAGACAAAACACAATATCACTCCAAGTTCATCATACTCTCCATAAGATGAAATGAAAGAGAATCACCGTCTTTGTCTCGCTGGCATATTTTGCTCATTGGTTGCAGCTACTGTCTTTAGACAAGTCTTGGGCACACACAACTACTCTTCCAGGATGGGGATAGGTCTTATGATATAGGCCAGTTGGGCAGGAGTCCTTTAAATGAGATGATATTTATAAAGGGCTTAGCACAGTGCCTGGCACACAGTAGGTGCTTAATAAATTATTATTCCTTCTCTCCTCTATCCCTTCCACTTCCCCTTCCCCTCCAAAGCAGGAAGAGGACATACAAGAGTTGTGAGAACAACTCCTTATCAGAACTTTGCCAAACTGTTCCGAAGCTGCGTTGATTTTTGCCTCCCCTTCATACCTACTGATTTCCCTTGGGTTGTCCTTGTCTTACCTGTGTGATCTTGTGAATGACCTACCTATAAGTCGTCTCTGAAATTCTCCCTGGGTATGAGAGGTCTGTCCCTCAGACCGTCAAAAGGCAAATCATGACATCCTTTGTTGCTTGTGAACTTGTATTTTAAAATTTATGATTACTTAATTTCTAATTTCTAATCCTTTGCCTTTCATAAATGGACTCTCAAACTAGACAGAGGCTTTTGAAGAGTGGTCAGTAGGGGAGAGGGTTAAGTCCTTGGTTTTACCCACATTTGTGAAAGAGAAGGTCCTGAGCTCCTGCCACCTAAGTGACTACACCAAAACAGACAGAATGCTTCCTCCCTAAGGGGTCCTTCCCAAGCTTTGTGAACTGCACTCTTTGTGGCCCCTGGCCACCATTCTGACTTGTTTCCCCTACCTTATAGCTATATTGCAAGCTATTCCTTTTTAAATAATTGCTGGAAGAATGTAGAGGAATCTATTAGTTAATATACATTATACTTCTCAGATGTCTTCTGTTTCTTTTTCTCTTGATAGCCCTTCCCCCCCCCAATTAAACAAACAAATAATAAAACACAAAAACACCATTATTTTCTGGTTCTGGAAGTTGTGGAGATAGAATTGATGAGATTGGCAACTGTTTGATATGGTATGGGACAGTAAGTGAGAATGATCATGAGTAGAGAATGGTTCCTAGCTTGTGAACCTGGTGACTGAAAAAACAGTAGTGTCCCCAGCACAAATAGGAACATTAGAAAGAAGCATAGATTTTAGGCAGAAATATAGTGAGTTCCATATGGATATGTTCAGTTTGAGATACTTATAGGATGTCCAGGTAGAGATGTCTAATAGGCTTCCTGAAGATATAAGACTGGGGCTCAGGAGAGAGAAAAGGACTGGATATGTAGCTATATCTGAGTCATTTGCCTTAAGATGCTTGTTGAACCTATGGGAACTGATGAGGTCATCATGAGAGAGAAGGGAGAAAGAGAAAGGAAGAAGTCCCAGGTGGGGCATCTAGGGCACACGCCATACATCAGGAATCACGGATGAAGAACCTTCAAAGGAGGCTGCAGAGGATGAGTCAGACAAGCAGGAGATCTGGGAGAGAACATTATCAGAAGGAAGGAGTAGTTATTAGTGTGAGACTTCCAAGAGGTCAAGGGAGTGAGGACTGAGAACATTCTGTTGGCTATAGCAGTAAAGAGATTGTTGGTGACTTTGTAAAAGACAACACTTCTGGTTGAATTTGAAGCTAGAAGCCATTCTGCAAAGGGCTGAGGAGTGGGAGATGACAAAATGGAGGCAACCAATGTACCACATTTTTCTAGGAATTTGGCTGTGAAAGAAGAGTGTTGTTCAGTTGTGTACAACTCTTTGTGATCCCATTTTGAGGTTTTCTTGGCAAAGATACCAAAATGGTTTGTTATTGCCTTCTCCAGATCATTTTACAGATGAGGAAACTGAGGCAAACAGGGTGAAGTGACTTGCGCAGGGTCACACAGCCAGTAAGTGTCTGAAGTCAGATTTGAACTCCGGAACACTAATATTCCTGACTGCAGGCCCAGCACTCTATGCACTGTGCTACCTAGCTGTTCCTGTGAAAGGGGGGAGGGAAGGAGAAATAGAATGATAATTTCATTAATTTTATCAGTGATTTTGTACAGTGGCTAATATTAGCTGACCAGTAAGAAAATTGAAATTATCACTTCATTTGCCACACTTAAAGAAACCTAGCAACAACAAGTGATCATTTTCCATCTATAATGTCTATCTTTAACTAGACTTAAACCCCTTAAATAAAAGGTTATGACATTCTATTTTTTAACCAGTGTGTTGGGCTGCAGTTTCTCTTCTTTCTTTTTGTGTTAGGACTGGAAAACTGATATGATCTGCTTTTTTGGGGGGATATAGGAGAAATAGCCAGAAATTAGTGGAGACATTTATTACATTTGAACAAAATCCGTATTCTTGATGCATTCAGTTTTCATAATAATTTATCATACTACATTCTGAATTTTAAATGGATCCTGCATTACAATTAATTAGATTAGATCATAAGCTCCTTGAGGGCAGGGACTGTCTTTTGCCTCTTTTTTGTATCCCCAGCACTTAACACAGTGCCTGGCACATAGCAGTTATTTAATAAATGTTTAATGATTGGTTGAATAAATAATAATAGTAGCTGCTAGCATTTACATGATGCTTTGAGGTTTGCAAAGTACTTTATATATGCAGTTGTGGCTGGAATATCATATTGTACAAATTCTAATAAAGGAAAGAAGAAAAATAACATGAAAGCTATCTGGAGAAAGGGAAAAAAAATCTTGGACTTTAGGTTTTCATTCATTTCCTTTTCCTGAGAGATTTGGGAGAATGTTTACTATTATCTCTTCTGTTTAACTCAATGTGAGATGTGCCTATTACCTATATCTTCAAAGATTGTGCCACAATTATCTTAAGATCAGTTTGAGGTGAATTTCCTATTTTATGAAGAAATTAATGATTTTAGAGCACAACCAAACCAGTTTTTTCCTTGTCTTTAAATTTAGAATTGTGGAGCAATATCATGACTTATATACATCACAAAGAGTAAGGATGGAAGCTGACCTCAAGCAGCTAACTTCTGAAAGAGACATCTGGAGCACAGCCACCTATGACTTGGCCCTAAAGGTAGAGAGAGCTAGACGTAGCTCTGAGCCCCTCCTCCCACCTTTTTTTTTCTTCCAGATTCATTTTATGGTTGTAAATAACCCTAATACAAAAACTCAGGGCTAGAGAAATGTATTTTAGCTTTTCCTGATCCTCTTAACTGCTAGTACTCTCTTTCTCAAGCTGTTTTGCATTCAACGACTTTGTAACAAGTTTTATATTTATTAGACCTATACTTAGATATGTATGTATGTATGTATGTATATATATATATTATATATTTATATATTTGTTGGCTTCTCTATTAAAATATAAGTTCCTTGTAAGGAGGAATTGGTTCGTTCATTGTATTTATATCCCCAGCACCTATCACAGTGCTCAGCACATAGTAGGTGCTTAATAAATACTTGTTGATTGATTAATAATTGGTCAATAAAGCTATGCCCTGTGAAAACTGGAGACATCTATTCATTTACTCTTCTGGATAGAGAATAGGTAGAGACTTAGAGTCAAGAAGATGTGCCACATGTAAATTTACTATGTGACCATGGCCAGGCCACTTAACCTCTATGGGCCTCAGTTTCCTCACCTGTGAAATTGGGATAATAACATCTGGAAAGCCTACCTCACAGGGCTATTGTGAGGCTCAAATGACATAATGCAAATCTTAAAGAATTATATAAATGCCAGTTATTATTGTTGTCTTTATTACTTAGCTATTACAGCACAGCTTCCAGTTAGGAATCCTTTTCTCCTTACATCCACCAGATTTTTTTGGAGTATGACTCAGAATACATTTTCTGTTGTCCATCAATAAATAGAGATGAAAGTTGGTAAGAATTCCAAGCTAGCAATTTGGCTAAACCTAGTATCAGGGGTGGGGGTGGGGGGCACAGGGAGAGAAGGGCTCGTATCTCTTCAAGGAATTGACTCTGATAACTCAGATAATTGTGCTACTCTGTTGGGCACTGTCATCCTTTTCCTTTTGTGTTTATTGGTTTCTATTCTAACTTAATGGCTGCCTTGTAGTCATATTGACAATTTCATTAGCAAAGTCCCATGATTTCCCATTTTTCAAAACTGTTTAACTTTATTCCCACCTATGGAATATTAACAATATCTGTGAGTCTCAACAATAAGCCATCATCTCCAATATCATCACTCTAGACTCAAACATTGAAATATGTATTCAAGTTCAGAGACAATTATTATGTCTCTAATGGCATGGTTCCAGGTCTTGTTATTTACTCAGCATTTTAAAAAATTGTTTATGGGGCATGTGGGGGCACAATGGATAGAAAAATGGGTATGGAGTCAGGAAGACCTGAGTTCAGATGTGGCCTCACACACATATTAGCTGGGGAGCAAGAGAGGACATATTAAGGCCCAGCTGAAGCAGAGACTTGGGTTGTGGCTAAGAGTGGTCAGGGATGCTAGCTTGTGGCAGACTTTTCCTTGTGGCCATAGCTAGCCATATCTACTCACTCTACTGTAGACTGGGTTAGCTGTGCTAGAGATAAGGTCAGAGGTTCTTTCCAGGTCAATACATCCAAGACAGTAAAACACTGACCCTCCGGGTTCCAGACTGCAGAAAAGTTCTGTAATCCTGTGCCATCAGGTTCTGGGTTCTTCCAGAATTGGTGCTTCTGCTTCTAATGACCAGTCTTACTGGAAGACTGAGTTGAACTTTTTGGGAACTATATTGTTCCAGTTTCTTTCCCCTACTTCTATGGTACCCAGCTGTGGAGAATAAAATAACCTCTGAGAGTGCATGTTCTGGACCTCCCAGGTCCAGCTTTGTCTAGGGAAAGCATCCAATGTTTAAGAGAGTAGGGCACAGCTGCTTGGTACATGTTTTATGTTTTATTAAGCATCATATGCTTGGTACTAAGTACTGTGTAGTTTTTTTTTTTTTGCTAAAAGTAACAACCTGCCATAAGCAGTATCCAAGCATGTATCTGTTTCCTGGGGAGCCAAGGCCAACCTAATAGGATTGTTGTGACCAGTGCTCACTGAAATAAAAGAAGTTTAAAAAAAAGAAGAGGCAGGGCTTCATCAATGGGTGAGGACTCAAGTTCAATTCTAATTAGGTAGATCCACAAATCCACATTACTCTTGGCATTGAGTTGGCACTGCTCAACCTTCTATTGATTCCCTGTCTCCAATTTATCTTTTTTTTTTTTTTTGGTGAGGCAATTGGGGTTAAATGACTTTCCCAGAATCACATAGCTAGTGAGTGTTATGTGTCTGAGGCCAGATTTGAACTCAGGTTCTCCTGACTCCACTGCCCCACCTAATTGCCCCTCCAATTTATCTTGTCTATGACTTGTCTATACATAGTTGTCTGCATGTTGCCTCCCCCATTAGACTGTAAGCTCCCAGAGAGAAGGGTCTGTCTTTTTGCCTTCCTCTGTGTCCCCAGCACTTAGCACAGTGCCAGTCAGTCAATATACATTTATTAATCAAGGACTGAAAAGGAGGAAAGGTTACTGAGTGATGGAAGTAGGGGGAGAACCTGGAAGTGGTCATGGGGAGCAAAGAATATTTCAACTCCCTCACCTCACCTAGTGAGATGAGGGGAATGAGTGAGCTTGTAACCAATACTGGAAAGAATGCCCGGGGGAAATCATGTTTCAGTGATTTATAGGAGATGGAAGGAATAGGAGAAAAAAAGATTTAGGGTGAAGTGAGCAGGCATTCCAGAAGGCACAGTGAAAGGCGTGAGTGGCATTTGATGAGAGCACTGATGAGAATGGGGATAAGGAATTGGGAAATGGGGATGGGGAATGGGGTTTGGATGGAGACCTTACAGGGATTCAGAGTCACTGGGGTATGTAGGGTATGAACAGGTGTGAGAATGTTCATCACTGAGTGGAAGACACCACTGCTCTTCACAGAGGGGGCTGGACATCAGGCAGGAGAAGAGCATGGTGTGAGACGGAAGGCACACGGTCAGATGGGAGGCCCCGTTTGACTACCCCTCTTCCCTCCAAAAGCTGGAAATTAGGCACAAGACAGTGCAGCAAGAGGTAGAAGCCCAGGGGTCAAGGTCTGATTCCACCTCTCACCTGACACTGGAGATGAGGTGACCTGGTGAAGCAGGGAGTAGAAATCTCCCATGCAGATGGAGCATATGAGGTGCTCAGTACATGTTTATTGACTGACTTCTCATCAGAGAGAGGAACTGGGGGATGGAAGGTTTCTGACTCTCTGGGAACCAGTAAGAACACTGCCCTGACTTAGCACATCTATTCTTTTAGGGCCTATGGAAACGACCAGGATGAGCAGTGAATGTCTGTCCTTAATGAGTGATTGACCCATGCGTGCCACCTAGTGGTTAAATATACATGACACAAGGTTGGTAAGGATAGTAATGTGCTAGATGGCAGAAATAAAGTTGAAAACGACCTTACCAGGCTGAATGGCCCCAAACTCCTTCATACTGTATACACTTCTTGTGGGAACTCCATCTCTCAGTTCAAAATTCAATTCCTTTATACTCCAGCAGATGGTAACAACAACAATAATAACTAACATATTATGCTTTAACATTTGCAAAAACACTTTAGGTACATTATTTAATTGGATCCTCAAAATAACCCTGTGAGGTGGGCACCAGTCGCACTGTTATCCCCATTTTACAGATGAAGAATCTGAGGCTGGACAATTTAATTAATCTGACCATCATCATCCAATTACTGTGTTGGGGATTAGGAGATATTTCTGCCTCTTCTGACTCTGGGTCCAGTACTTTCTCCACTAATGATGGTTTTGTGAGTTGCTCTGGCAAAAAAACAAAAACGAAAACAAAATCACTCCACTTTCAATCTGCAGCTCTGCTTAGTCTAAACTCCATGAAACTAGATAACTCCTGGTGGTCTCTCTCCCCTTTGTTCTTCCCTGAGTTGCAGCTTACTTCTGTGTGTTATCTTCTCCCACTAGATTGTAAGCTTCTTGAGATCAGGGACCATCTTTCTTTTTCTTCTTTGTATCCCCAGTGCTTAGCATAGTGCTTGACACATATTGCTTATTAAATATTGTTTATCATTATTGTTGTTTATTGTTTATTATTATTAATTTAATTATTTTTTGTTTATTGTTTAATTATTGTTTATTAAATTGAATTGAACCTAGTGGTTAGCCCTCTAGAGATGAGTCTGTACAAACACAAGCTAGTTCTTAGACAGCAGACTATATGCAAGGCCTTTCCAGTTTGATAACCTTGGCTGACTTTGCGTTCTACTGGCATGGCCTTGGAGAACCCAGGATCACAACTGCTTGCCATGACAAGGCATCAGAGAAGTTTAGTGGGGGGGGGGGGAGAGGGGTATGAAATTAACAAGATGAAATTTACTTTGGATATATGTAGAGCCTTATATTTGGGTCCAAAAAATTTCCCACAAACTGAATTAAGGAGACTTAGCTTCATAAAAATTTACTGAATACAATCTAGGATGCTAGCTAACTATAAGCTAAATGCTTATAGGCTGCATTAAAAGAAGTATAGTAATCAGAACAAGTGAGAAAGTATTTCTACTGTTCTCTTTATTAGTCAGAACACATCTTGAAATATTGTACCTAGTTTCACATTTTAAAGGTATTTTACCAAAAGTTTCACATTGAAAAGGTGAAGAGAATCCAGAAGAAGACGTTGGGGATAATTAAGAGTCTAGAAATTAGGTGATATGAAGAATACATGAATGAACTGGGGAAGTTTAGCTTGGAGAAGAGATATTTTAGGGGAGATACATTTACCATCTTGAAGTATTTGAGAGGCTGTTGTGTGGTGGGGCTGGGCAAATGTGAAGAGAAGAACTAGGGTCAATGGTAGAAATGACAAGAAAACAAATTCATATATTGGCTCGATATAAGGGGGGAAACTATGTCATTAGAACTATCCCCATATGAAATGGGTTGTCCTGTGACAAGATGAACTCCTCATCACTGTACCTTTAGAATCTAGATGAACATCTGTCAGGGATGTTACCGACAGGATTCCTCTACTAGGTAGGAAGTTAGATCTCTAAGGTTCTCTTCAGTTCCAATATTTTATGATTCTATTTTCCTTCTGTATTCTAATTCATTTGTTTTAGAAAAATGCAGGTTTGGTTCTGGTTCAAACTGATTGACTAGATGAGTGATTTTTTAAAAATCCCTTCTTTTTATTTATTTCATGGTTGACTAAAGATCAATATTTGCATTTTGTTTGGTATAGTTTGTCTCTGTTCAGTCAAAATCCTGATAATCATATAACTTTCTTATAGGTCATTAAAAAAAACAACCTCATACTGACCAGAAGACTTTATCTTAATGAAAAGGCTTGGAATAAATATGTCACGCATTTCATTGTAATGTTGGCATCCCAGGTAAATTTCAATTTAAGAGGCTTATTGGAGTTGAGAGGGTGGGCATTTGTGTGTTGGGGGGGAGTGGCAGGAGGGTACATGTATGCAAAATTATAAGACCTGTACCCAATAAGATTTTAGTGAACTTAGAGAGAAAGCATATTTTAACTCTTCATTCACTGATTCATTTCTGTTCCATTTGACTTTGCAAATATTTATTAAATACTTTCTCTATTCAAGACATTGATCTAGGTCCTAGGGGATACAAAGTTAAGAAATGACACAGTCACTCCCAGGAACTAATAATAGACTAGAGTGCATGAGACACATGTACAAATAACTGTGATATAAAGTAGAGAAAGAGAGAGGTCAAACAATGACATAAAAGATTTGAGAGCAGGATCCCATCTATCCGGGGGAATCAGAGGCTTCATGGAGAAGGTATCACTTGGGCTACTAGGGCTTGAAAGAAGAGAAGAGTTTCAATGGGCAGAGATGCTTGAAGAATATGTACCGTGCATGGAGAATAGCACTGTACAAATGTGGAGGAAACAGGATGAGACTTGGGGACTGCAAGTGGTCCAGTCTGATTGGAATGGAGGCTGTGTGAAAAGAAATTCCATGAAATAAGCCTGGAAAGGTGTTTGGAACCAGATTGATGATGTCCTTTAAATACCA